ACGGTGCAACGGAATAAACAAATTTAAATTAAAACAGTAATTAAAAAATAATATACATATAATAGTCATATTACCTACATTATATATATATATATATATATATATATATATATATATATATATATATATATATATATATATATATATATATGTACCCATATATAATAATAAATAATATCGGACGAAAAACTACTCAGATACAAGGGAAAAACCAGCATTAGACAAAGCAAAATGTTTTAGAAAACATATTACATACGATTCTATGGATTCAAAATAAAAGAACGTAGTTTATACTTGAATGCCAATTTGGTTGAGGCAGATCTATTATCGTAGACAAAATTTTAATAACGCGTGGAGGGTACCATGGGCGTTATGGTGTTGCGTGCATAGCTATATACGACGGATGCCACTTTCCATCAGGTGGGCCGTCAACTTGTTTGCCATTCAAGGTTGTTAGACAAATGAAAAAGGAATCTATCGATAAATGTATGTTAACTATGTAATATGAAATAAAACGATACAACAATACAAACGTTTTGTTCTTTTTCATACTAATGAAGACGTGGCATCGATGGATTCGTTAGTCATTTGCTCGTGTCTAGGGGAGCAGATTCCAGGTAATAGTAACCGGGCTATATGAACAAGTCGCTGTGCAGTACATTTTTTTCTACATAAATACCACTAACTTTACTAATACATTGTTAATGATAGCGAAATACAAAATGCGATAATGTTTCAGAATTTAAATAGAAAGATATATTTAGTTGTAGTCAAAGGAACAAGCAGTATCAAAGTTTAAATACCTTCAATATTACTCGTCTATCTATTAAATAATTATAGACATCTTTTAATTATTACACCGCTCGCCATCGACAAGGAATTCATTGTTACACATTTGAATCTTAATGGTCACGTACAGTGTGGTTTCAAAGAAGTATTCTCCCGCGAATGCTCAGGCTGTGAATGTATCTCTGCCCAAGTATCCTCCAGAAAATAGAGTATGGGGTTCTTCAAAAAGGGTATATTAAAGTTTCTTCAGGGTCAGCAACGCGCACGTGACATCCTTAGTGTTGCAGACGTTCTTAAACTAATTACCATCAAACGGACTGTATGCTTCTTTTCCATCTTCGTGGTATAAAAAAAAATTAAATAAAAACATCTACATGTATATTCAGAACACCTGACACAATACGTCAGTGTGATGTACACCGTTATGTACATGGGTATGTTATACCCATATGGCACGCTAGATTTCCGTGATCAAAGCACTTCAGCACTTACAAATGGGTCGTATATATGACTTTCAATATAATAATACTAATTGTCTGGTCTTAACTAAAACGTGTTGCGATTGAGGAAATTGTTATGCCATTCACAGACTCGTAATTTGAGGTCGGTTAGTCTTAAAAGTATAGCTGTTGCGAGATGATATCAAATGGCCGGCGGCAATGTTTACATAAAATTAGCAAGTGAAGCAAACAACTATTATTTGAAAATGAGCACGTACAGAATGAAAGTGAGGGCGTCCGCATTGTAACTGAGAGATCTTAATAGAAACCAGCGAAAAGTCAGCGCGTCGTGCTCGGCATCGGCTGGCTTTGTTGCAGTGCGTTGCTCGTAGCAAAAACGTGAGCCGATATCTGGGTCGCGGCAAGTGCACGCTGCACGCGCCCATTCTATTTTGTATTTTGTCTTCTGTTCGTAAAGGATAATACATTATATCGTCATAGTCGTAGAATACTGACGGATCTTTATATGTAATCTTTGTCAGATCCGTCAGTAATCTACGACTATGACGATATCAGTTTCATAATGAGTCACTTTGAAAGTAGGAAGGATTCATTTTTAATTGATATGTAGATTTTCCTACGGAGTACGCCTCTTCTACTGATCTAAAACAAAAAAGAATAATTATTATGTTACAAGGATAATAACAGAATGTAGAACTTAAAGATCTATTAAACGACGTCCTTAAAAACTTACATCTTCATTTAAGAATTTTCTCTTGTCGGTGCAACTAATTCATGCATTTTCTTCCAGCCAGCTCTATCCCATGCCATATCTTTGATCTCCCTATACGATATGATACATAGTGTTTCCTTTATCTGTTCCATGTAAAGCTAACACTAGGTATCATATCAAAACTTACATGTATGAGAAGAATAAATATTACGGAGGAGTTGGTACTAAACTAAATATGACTGAGAATACGTAAACATTTATTTACCTAAAGAACTTTCAACCGCTCACTTTTCACTTTTTCTTGAAAATATTATACACGTACTGCTTTTAACTTTTAGGTTTCATGCATGTAATGTGAGTGACCATTGCAGTCATACTGCTTTACGACATCGAAAGTGTTTTGTTCTTATTCCGCATGCCATTATTCGACCTTGTTCATACCTAAACCTACTACTAAAAGGAACGTGCTCGAAAATCTGTAAAATATTCTCTTTGTTCGGTTTATGTTTTTGTTCAAATATCATTTCTATGTCAGACATGTCACGTTTTTATTTGTTGTAGTTACATACCATTGACTCTAGCGTTGAGTTAAAATTTCACGATAATATTAGGAACATGGTTTCGCAAGCAAGTGCCGAGTTGTTTTTATTTGTTATAACTCGTACTCACAGTAAAGCTTTGTCCTAAATATTTTACAGGTACTCAGATTTCTATACTAAAATGTTGCAAGCTCGCCATGAACTTTGTCTTCAGCTTAATGTTAGACAGGTAGAACTGTGCAAATGTTGCAACCTATTCCTATCTGTATCAATATTTTGTTGCCGCTGGTGTTTCTTCTAAATTAGAATAATACAAAAAATAAAAATAAAACTCATAAATGTTCTTTATCGACTAGACTACAGTTAAGTATTTATTTATTAATAATTTATATCAAACAGGATTCTACTCTATAAACTAAAAAATAACGACTATAGTGACACTGTTAATTTAGGAACTACAGCAGAGTTAATCCATTCATTACAAAAAAACATCAAATTACATCCAAAATTGGTGCAAATAGCGCGTTACCTATATACATACCAAAAATAAAATTAGAATCTTTCTTCTTCTGGAACTTCATTTAATATTGAAAATATTTTTAAAATTTGGTTAAAACAGCAATATGTATACCTTATCTGTATAACTTTAGAGTCTTAATTTGTATTTCATTTTTGTAACACTTACTGGCATGCCAACGTATTTTCGGACCGATTTTTGTTTTTAAATTAATTTAATTAAAAAATATCCTTAATTTATAAGGAATTAAATCATCATGTAATGTTAATTTGACGGTACTCTCACTAACGATTCAAGATCTCCCTTCACTTCTTCTACATTTTATTTTCTGTGTTACGTATTGACATTATTTATGTTTGTCAGGCACTTATCCAATTTATGGTTTCCGATTTTATGCTTTAACCGTACATAGTATATGATTTAGTATATAATTTGCAAGTAATGCCGTAATGCATTGATGTGGAACCAACAAAACATATATAAACATAAGTATGTTTATATGTGTTTAGATACACGATCAAACCATAAAAGATTTGTTATGGTTTTTATTTTTATTATATCAATAATAAAAATATGTATCAATAAATATATCGACTATAATCACTAAAGGGATAGTTAAAGACTTGTAGACTATTACTATCCCATAGCTACTACCTTTTTGTTACTTTTGTAATAAATTCTTTTTCTACAGTTTCAACATAGAGACACGATTCTGTTATAAGATTACACCATTGTGAGACAGACATGCTACTGAATACTGTTATGAATTTACTAATACATAATTTCAAAATATGAGATAGCATTTGAAATTAATTTTTGTTTTTAAGGCGAGTTTTCATGACAAGAGTCGTGAAATAGAAATTGCTATTATGCTAATAGATAATAAACGACGTGGACAGGGGGTTTAATTACAAACTATATGATTGAGTTTATATAACAAATGTACGGAAGAGACTTATGCACGGGTATAATATCAGAGGATTGATGTATTATTATCTATTGTTTGTGTTGCATGCAATCAGTATGAATTCATCAGTCTGGAACCATAGAACTTTGTGACATTATTAAAACAGTTAATGTAAGTGGTAGAAAGTTAGTACGAGTAAGATTATTTCCGATACATTGTAAGTATGGTTTCCTTCATAACAAGTTTATGGTAAACAGCCGTTTTCCGCAGCTATGATTTGGGGTAAAAACTTTAAGTCAATCAAAAATCTAGTCATAAATCTATACATTAATATATTAATATTTAGTATAATAAACATTTTAATAATATTATAACGATAAACTGATATATATTTTTATAGATGGATATTTAATAATTATTATTATAGATCTATAAACTAATACGGATTGTTTCGTTTTCAATATGAATAATCATTCATTATTTTTGTATCGCATACGTGAGCAATTTATATTACGATTAGAGGTCAAAGCTCAAAAGATGAAACACTATTATTTATTTTGTGACGAAGGCAATCTAATAAGTGAGAGGTCTATCAGACTGGAGACGGTACAAATATATTCAGACATGACTATTAAGAATAAGTAGATATAATTTTTATTCAAGTAAACTTAATTATAAGTATTATTTAGTAATAGTTTTAATTGATTTATTTTATTCAACGAAAATTAATTTTTCAATTATAATTTTGTATAAAAAAATATAAAAATTGGTTTTGCAATTATAATTTTGTGTCAATATAGACTACCGCAATAATTAACATACTTATAGAAATTATTTATAAGAGAGACTTAAATATAGTATCTCTATACGTGTTACTTTTGTTTTGCTCTTTGTATACCTACATAAATATCTGCATATGCATACCTACACGTACAAGCATTGTAATGCTTGTACTAGACCCTCTGATATAAAAAAAAAATCGGAATGATTGATCTTATTGGGTGCCATTCACCCCTTGCTTGTTCTTGCTGTAGTGCTAAAATCACGTGAGCTAATTGCATTATTTTTTTTTCAGCTCGGCTATGGATGGACGCGCAGCGGACAGCGGCGATGCGCACGTCACCGAGCACCGGAGTCGACGATGTCGGTTGGCAGTGATATCCGCTTCACAAGGCGCAAGCTAAGCCGTTCGTGCCGGGGATGCTGTGCTGCCATCGCCTCGCTATTGGTGTTGCTGCTGTTGGCCGCGGTTGCTGTTTACCTTGGACGTAAGTATATAGTGTTCTGTTTTTTACCTCAGAGCTATTAAATCAATATATAATTTATAAAAGAGAGTAGTTAAGTAAAGTTTTTTACATAACTTTACATTAGACTTTTCCATTTGATTTTGTCTAATTCCAATACACCTATTTATATTTCATAAATAAAGAGTATCATCAGTCAGGCATCATAAGAGTATTTTGACGTCTTGTAAATTCTAGATGTACCGAAAATACTGCACGGAATATGTAACGTACCCCATAATATTATAAACAAATTATATATATATATATATAATAAATTATTAACAGGTTAAAAATAATTATACGGTTACTGTTCCATGATATAACCAGAACATAGGTATATATCTTAAATAATAGAGAGATGTGGGTTCGAATCCTATCATTAATAGAAATCCATTAAACATGGAGTTTGTTCCGTTGTCGGAGATTTTGTAAACGATAATAATTTGCAAAATAAATAGTTGACGAGAATGGAATTAAGGGTCTAGTTGTAAAGTTCACAACTTTGTAACGTTGAGAATTGTTGGAATCCATTGTTAGTAAACATTAGGTGTGTTGTAGAGGCGTGGGCTAGCGACATTTGCCCGTCACCACCAAAGCAAAGGCCGACGAGCTCAGCGGCCTTGCTGTGCCGTCGATCGAGCTCGACCACTGCGACAAGTGTATCGCGATCTCATATTTATGATATCGTAAATAGATCTCTAGCAATAGGGCAAACAATGTAATTTACTACCTAATTGTATTCATATTCATTACGCTACAAGTGCCCTCGATACAAAAGAGATCAATGTTATACCTAAGTATCAAATAGAAACTTGTCAGGTAGGTAAGTAAATGTTACTTACCTCTCTATATGTTAAAATGTAACTCTATAATTACAGATCTACATTGATGATATTATTTTATTTAAACTACTAACAGAAAGTAATGTTTATTAGGAATAATTATTAAATAGGTACTATTTTCAAATTATATCAAAAATAAGGATATTTAGATTAAAAAAATATCTATGTGATATTTATCTACTTTATTTCGCAATAGATTGAATTTATTTCCATATGGATTTCATACTAATTTTGTAGATTTTATGCGAAACAAACTTATAATTATATCCTTTGAAAGAATATTATAATATACCTATATAAAATTAAGTAAAGAGGTAACACTTAGATGTTATATTTTTTGCAGACCTATATTTGTTCGGGGATCCATTGAACCGGCAAACTTTCCGGGGTTCTTTCATTATGACCTTTGGCGCGGAGGGCGATGAGGGCAAGGAACCCGAGCTAAAGAGCAACAACACGAGGGAGAGATACCTGCGGCAAGCAATATTCAATCTTTATCAAAATTCAGAACTCCGATCCTGTTTCGTGAATGACGAAATACTTGCATTGGACAGGTAAGCTAAAGAATTCTATATGACCTGCAAAACAAATTTAAATTTCGATTGATATTCGTTTATGTATATACATACATATGAGTGGAATGGAATATTAAATATAGATATACAAATACAAAATATTTAATGCACTTAAATATAAGCGTATTGCAAAGGCACCAGCTAAATATGCATACGGCCTATCTGACCCAGTAAGATATACATACCTACATTTAGATTGAAAGGTATCAATATACGTGATACCTACTGGATTAACTTGGTAGATAAAAAATTCATATATTATAATTTTTATAAAAATCTTAGAAGCTATTAAATTGATACAAATGACCATATCTGTGACTGTACGAACATAATATGATTTGTTGAAAAGGAATTCAGTCATTAGCAACGTATCTCTTTGTAATGTTCAGTGTCGTGCTACGACCTGTCTATTACTGAACTTGAGAGGTGATGTTCATTGTTATATTGCCTTTCTAGAGCTCTGTAACAGGTGATTACGTTATATGAAACACTCCACCGAATTTTGTAACATTTACCTGAAATAGAAATAGAATTATAAAGTACATAAGATCTAAATTTAATAATTTGATATGGTCTAAAACAAATTAATCAACTTACTTTCCTACGTTACGTTACTCTTATACGAGTGTGCATTGTAATTAGAGACGTCAATTTACATATCATTAAACAGAGATGTGAAACGATACATATATTTATTACGTAATTATAAGTTACAAGTAATATGTAATAGGTGCTTCAGAGTTACTTATATAAATGACGCCTTTCTTCAATTTTGAATATTTTAACAAAGGTGAATTTAACATTTATGAAAATAATATAAAAAATTTATCATAAATAAAAATAAAATTTAGAACTGTGTCCATCTGTATAAATTTCATTCAATCCGTTTATGCATAAATAGTAACAAAGTTATAAAAATTAAAATATCATCATAAACCTTCACTCAAATAATTTTGTAAAGAAAAATATATCGTTTTAATATTATAATGCCCTTTTTACTAAAAATTATATTACATTTTATGAGCAGAATATAATGAGATGTACACAATATATATAAGTACACAATATATATAAATAATTTAAGATTCTGTACCACAAAAAAAAAACAGACTTCAATTGTAGAAAAACCAGTTAATTTGACTTAAAAACTAAATTTAAACCCATTTTAATAAAACTTCTATGAGACCAATCTGTAAGTACGAGTATATTCTTTCAGATAAAAATAATTTCCTAAATCGATTTATAACTAACGGAATTGGGAGGTTACAAAAAAAAAATGCCACCGAATTAAGAACCTGCTTCTTTTATTAGTCGTTTAAAAAGGTTTTGTATTAAGTACATTATTATATCATAAGTGTATATCTAATAACAAAAAAATATATAATAATGTGTAACTTACATTTATTTGTCTTTTATCATGTTTTAACAGCAAAATCAGTGAGTCATATCAATGTAGGCTATAGATATACACCACAAACCTAGAGAAAGTTAACTTTCACGAAATCTCGGCGCCTTATGATTGAACCCAGTTTACGTTTAGCGGAAACACGAATAGCTACCTATCATTATATTTTGAGTTGTTTTACTACCTATCAATATGTGTGTTATGTAATTTATTTTATATAACTAATAAACTAAATTGTTTCTGAGCTCCAAATTGGCCATTTTCGATTACTTCGGACCGTTAATATTTATAATGAAATATACGAAAATATAAATTATAAACTTAATATTATAAACATGTCCAAAACAGATAGAAAATGTTGTAGTTTCTTAATGATATATCACTTTTTGTGTATACTGCATGGCTAAAACAACGCTAATTATTGTTGAGGAACATGTATATAAATCTACTTTTACTTTCTCTAATATCACAGTTTCTTTCAAATAAATGTTATTATATATGAATAAATATGCACATTTCGTATATATAAAGACATTATAGAGGGAGGATTATAAGTTTTTTTTTTAATAAAAGTATACAACTGTTCTTATAATATACTCCACAAAGCGCACTAATACATTTTTTAAAGTTTTATATACATTTTCAACTTATAAGAAATTTCCCCATAATATTATGCCATAGGGTAATAACGAAGAAACATAGTCATGATAACTTGAGACAATGGTAATGTAGCGTTAAGATGTAATAAACTGACATACAAATAAAAAAAATTACATTCACATTTATAATATTAGTATCTAAGAATAAACAGCGACATATTTTTTATCTTATAATTACTTTATAATATCCTACTAGGAATGTTGTATGCTGTCGTTGTTTCTTGTTGTATGACAAATCAGTAATACAGAGAATCAAAAAGAAGAAAACAGAAGATAAGAAATCCAAAGGTACTACACTTATAGGTTTATATTTTCATTAGTACAAAAGACTTAAACGCGTTTCATCAGCGAATAATTGAAATTTTCCATTATCATATTGATACGATATATCAACGAGTCAAATCTTAATTAAATATTAGATTATATATTTCCAAAATTCTAGAGTTTACTACTAAGTACTACTTACAGTCGTGTAGATCCCGACATAGAACGGACTACTCTTTCTTTTCCCGTGGATGTGGTAAGAGCCAACTAAGGGAATTTATGGCAGTAGGATGGGCAGCAGCGTCCCTCTTAAAACATTACCAGAAGCTAAACTGCGTTTTTCAATGCGCCTGCCCAGCGCGGCAACTACTGGCATAAACATATTGTTCTGCAGTAGATAGTTAACGGCTGATACAACAACAACAATACCTCATATGTTAATCATATAAAATCTCTCGATTACACTGGCGAAAATATCTTTTATATGTACATATATTGTGAAATTTAAAGCCTTATGCTTTTTATTACTTAATTAAAATAAATAAGAATATTATACCTAATATACATATAATGTCAAATAAACTATTAATCGTTTTAGGACATCTCACCAAGAACTATTTATTATTTTCAAATTCAATGCTTATATAAATAGCAAAAACTATAAGTACAAAGTAAAAAGTTCAGATATACGAGCATAGATCGATATCATAGATCGATTAATTGATAAATTTTTACGACACACCGAATACCAATTATGAAAATCATCACTGAAAAGTAGACTTGAGGTGTAAAATAAAAAAAAATGAGTGCCGGTATCTATCAGACTGCGTCTATAGATAAACTACTTATTACTGAATTGATTTAGATGTACTATTCCAATTATGACAAATGGAGTATTATGATCTTATCGATGTTATAAGATAACAGACAGTAGTATGTCATTTAAAACATTTATTTATTGTGGACGATTGTATCTATGAGATATCTCGATATTAAGCCCCGGAACACGAAGTAAACAAGTTATATGCCGATTCCTGTGTGATATTGACACGAGAAAGTTCAATACGTGCTCTGTTTGTAAGTTAAGCACTGAACTTTCTATGTCCCATGCGTTAAGTTGTACCAATATTGTTATTTACATTGGACTACATTGCAGCTGTACATCAAGGTTCCGACCCTCTCCTTTTGTGAGTTGAATATCAATAGGAAACCTGAATACATATAATTTATGGGAATTTTATTAGCCCAGTATTACCCAGTATACAGTTCCGTGTGTAAACAGGATATAGACGGAAATAGCTTTTGAAATTTCTCTATAAATAATATTTAAAATATACTAGGTATCCGCACCGGTTTCGCACGAGTAGCAAAGCATATATGCTTACAGTTTTTGCATCAGCTTTACATTCAGTCGAGTATGAAAAAGATGAGTATAGTAAACTATCCTTAAAAGATAGATATATGCCATTACGAAGTTTTTCGTAAACTTATAAAAGAGAATCTCTCCATATATTGTTTTGTTATATCTCAAATGGATTAAGCAGCATTTTCGTTGAAAGCTCGTAGTCGATTTGTTTCTTCTAACATCTTTAACAATTATCGACATATTTTAACAAATTAACATAAAATAATATTAAACTGTACATATAAATCTTTCCCTTGAATGACTATTTATTTATAAAAACTGCTTTAACGTTGCATAGTTTAAACGATGTAAGCGAACAGATGGCAGGTAGAGACTTCGTTTTACATTATATAGAGATGTACTCAAATTATGTTTGATATTTAAAGTCAATATCTTTGAAAATTAAGCAGTTATACCACCTACTTATTAAATACCTACTTATTAATATATAAGACACAAACAAATCTATCGATAGAATCACTTCGGTCAGCGCTCTCGTTAGAAAAAACAAGATAGTTCATATCGCCATCTTGTTCTATCTTAATGATTCGCCAGCAATAACGATTCTATCAGTAGATTCGTTTATACTTTATCTAAAGAGGCTTGCATAAAAAGCAACACTTTCAGATAACACGAAGTCATGTTCGATTTTTATTTATCGTTTTAAATTTCACTTTTCAATCGAGGTGATTAATTTACATTTACTTACTCAATGGTTGGATGTAGTAGATGAGAATAGTTTGCTCTTGTGTTATTTAGAGAAAAAAACAAACCTTTTATTGCAAAAAGTTTTTATAGATAGGTATACATAAATAATGAAATAAGTATTTAAGTATTCCCTATAATTTTTATGAGATGATATTTTAAAATCACAACTTGGAGACACGGAAATAATTTTTAACTATAGGTAGGATTTCTAATTTCAACAAACGCCAATCAACCAAATAATCAAACTCAAATCTAGAAACTTATTCACAGAAATGGAATAATAATTTGTGTTTACGAACATTTTGACCCACTTTTTATTGCAATAGGTAACTGCCGTAATTTCTATGATACAATTGTTTATCGTGCTCTAACAAACTTGATCTTTTTTATGTTGTGATCAGACTTGTTGCTATCATACTTCATTGCATTCAGTTCTTTTTGCTACCCCTTGCATTACTCTAATATTTTGTGAATTTTAAAATCTAAATGAAAGTAGAATACAATTTTAAATCTATTAGCTATAAAGTTTAAACAGAATAAAGCCAATCCAAGGTTTTGTATCTATACATAAATTGGTGTTCTCGTGTTGTTGGATTGTTTAATTAGTCGTGTATGTAAATAGTTAGGATATTTTAAGTAGATATGTATATAGTAATACTTTTTATTATGCAATTTACAATATTTAGTTTCTATTTGAAAAGCTATGTATTTAGATTTAAATTCCTATTTATATCAGTTTTTAAAGTAACTCAACTAATAATTCAACAATACTTTTTTTTTTAAATGAGGTAGAATATGATTATCAAGACTAAGGTATAACCTCTATATATCCCTTTCTTTGAAAACAAAAAAATCTAGCTGCATAAGTTCGCATGAGTAATTGCAATAGTAATTCGTTATTGTGTACATTACAGTACAGAAGATGGGACGCGAGTTCATTTCGAGGTGTCGTTCGAGCCGATCTTCACAGCCGTGAGTACGAGCGAGGTGAGCACGGTGCTCGCGAGGGAGATCAAAGCGCCTGCCGGATACTTGAATGTCACTATACTGCCAGATACGTTACACATAGAGGTATCGTAATGTTTTTTCACACTGACTGAAAACAAAAACTAACTATAAATAAGTACTAATTTATATACTGCAGTCAGATTTTGTTTTGCCTTTAAGGTATCACGTATTATTATCTAGATACTGGGCCTATTTGGATGAAATTTCGTAGAGAAATCTATGTGAACATAATTTATCTGCATAACTTATACAGTATATGCAAAAAAATATGCAGATAAATTTGAAAGTAGCGTCTTGTTTAGGTATATTTACTTAAGTACGTCTTCGAATCTTCGTTTGTAAGATATTTGATTCTCGAAAAAAAAAATTTCACAATATTTGTCCGTAAGTTGCAACAATCAGGGTTATTCGAATTCAGACTTTAGTTAAGCAATGTTCGGCGTATATTTATTTCAGCAGTATGTGTGGAATATGCATTTTGTATTATTTTCCTACGTAATTGATTTCCAAAATAGTGATTTAACAACGAAATTCTAAATTTATATAACTTGAATCACGAACAGATCAGCAGTTTTATTGTTCTACAAATCAATCATATAATATAGTTACATACAAAATGTTTAGTAAGAATTGTTTCACAATAAATAAATATTTTTGGTTATATATTTCTTATGTTTCTTGGAATATATGATTCAGTCATATATATATGCATATTGTAGTAAACAGCGAGTATTCATAGCGTATCAATTTAACATTTTAATTAAAGCAGTATATTGGGCCTATGAAACTGTCTATTGATAATTAAATTATGTTCCACAAAAAACTGACTTCAATTCTGGCAAAACCGGTTTTGATTTAAAAACTAAACTACGGAATCGATTTTGATAAAATTTCTATAACACCAATCTGTAAGTACATTCTTTCAAATAAAAAATGATTGTCCAAATCGGTTTACAATTGATAGAATTATAAGGTAACGAATATTAAAAAAAACATACAACCGAATTGAGAACCTCCTTTTTTTTGAAAATTACAAAAATAGTTACACATTATGTAAGTTGAAATATCTATTTACTTATTATTAAATATTACTTTATATAAATAAAAACGTACTTTCATAATTATAAAATGTTAGTTATACCTATCTATCTAATGCAGAATGATCAATTCCAATCTCACAAGTGGCAAACTGAAACATTGATTAATATTTTCTTATAATTTTAGGAAAATTCAGTAATATCGTCCTTAGAGTTAAAAGAAAGCGAAACAACGATTGTAGACGTTACAACAACGGAAGAGACGGCGGCAGAAGTACAAGAAGAACTGCGAGAATGTTCCGCAGTCACTTTACCATTATGTTCTTATCTGCCATATAACTCAACCTCGTATCCAAACCTCGTGGGGCATGCGAACAAAGATGCGCTACTGAAGGATCTCGTCGCATTCAGAGAACTCCTTGATGCAGAATGCTCACATCTTGCACAGGTAACCTTGACATCAATTTCAAGCTTGTTATAAATATATTTGCGTACTTACATGTTACTGTTTTTAGTTTCATTTAGAAAGTAGAATGCGTAATAATATACTATTTATGTAAATTTTGTTTTCCTCGCTTGCTTACCAACAATTTCTTATTTATACGGATGGATACGACCGCCCACGAGATAGTGACGATATTAAAAGTAAAGTCGTTGGATACGAGTAGCACGGAATTGAACTTTATGTGGTAATATGATGGAAATTGTAATGATAACATATATATTATATTTAAATTTCATATAATTGATTATTGTTATTATAGTAATCATGTTCATTGCTTTAATACCTGATTTGAAATCTTGTAAAATAGTACAATACTAAGTACGTAAGATGTCAAGATAATATTATAAAAATGGAATATAGCGGCGCATATGCATATTATAGTACACTTCGGATACTTGATAAAAAATGTCATAATGCGTGGTTGTCACAACTACAAAATCAACTACGTCTGTACATGTGACCATGTGTACGTATGTAGTTATAGTTAGCATGAGAAAAAGCGCGTGCTTCGATATAATGTTATTTGAAACTATTCTTTGGAAAATAATAAAAGTATACGTTAATTAGCACACTACTAATTATTAGCAAAAATCGCAATATAGTCATTAATACAAATCTAAGTATATTCTTTTTATTATACTACTGTGACAGTAAAATATGTAGTTATCATGATATAATACATTACATACCAGTATTTCACTTTCCCTTAGTAGATAACTGTTACTATTCACTAGTATGAATATTTTTAACAGACTTTAAATTACCTGGTATGCATACGTAACAACTTAGTTCCCAGTAATAGTAACGTGTAAGTGGTGCCATGAGTGTCACGGTATATTGTGGGAGACACTAATTTTCATGTCTATAAGACATAGTTATTATTATTAATTAGATGGGCTTACATATATTATTTTGTTTTATAAGTTGTCTAAGTGGTCGCTTCCAGATAAATTACAAGAGTAGTGTGACGCAACGATAATCGATTTCGAATTTTAAATAACAATAGATTTCGATAAAGTTAAGACTAGCTAGTTATTCTCTTCATACTCATACGTACCTACCTCATAAATATTTATCTTTATCTTCTTTTCTCTCTGATATCGGCGGCAACTGAAGCATAAACTATAGCCATCCATTGGAATTTGAGTGATAACACACATTTGAGAGGAGGTGAGATCAGAAAGTCTATAATGAAATGTTTTTTTAAATTGGAGGTCGAATGAAACAAATTTGATATTAAAATTACATGATACATGCCGTTTAAAAAAAATTTAAAATATCGTTCCTTTTTTAACTTTAATATTACATTATTTATATATATATATATTTATATATATATATATATATATATATATATAATACCTATATTATAACGAACAAAACTTTAAGTCCATTTACTAGGCCGATTTAGATACTATGAAATTGAGTCCGTAAATTTGGATTTTCATTTTATGGTAGACCCCCAGATCACAGAGGGCGGAAAAGACACTCCTTTCCAGCATACTTTATTACTATTACTTACACTGTAGTTAGGGCGTTTAGATTTTTAGCTATCTACCTTTATTGTTTATTACAAACATTGTTTATTTTCAGGATTTTGTTTGTCAAATGTTACAACCAAGATGCGTAAACGATCGCCTGGTACGACCATGCCGAGCCTACTGCCGAGCTTTCCACGCAGGTTGTGGCGCAAGGTTGCCTGAACGACTGCGGCCACATTTTGATTGTTCGCGTTTTCCTGATTATTTTGGACCAGGCTCTTGCGCTTCAGAACCAGGTAGTTAAAATTACATGTACATAAATATTATAATCAAATAATGTGTCTCTGGAATAAATCATTTCTCAAACGATTTACTAATAATGATTCTATATAGCAGGATAGGCACGATATAGCAAATGGGGGTACACATACCACTTGTACCCCAAGTAGTATGCATACAGGCGTACACGTGACTAAATAATCAAAGTAATTTTAAATAACAAAGCTAGATGAATATCTAGAGCTTTCACATTTCTTTTGCCTTTCACGGCAACTTGTTGCCTCCAACTTATTGGAGTTTCGTCGGATAACCACAGAGTATTTGTGTTTAGAAATTTAAGATCTAATGTTATTTCTAGTATTGTTATATAAGTTAAATTTTATCAATATTATTCCTTTTAATTATACATGTGTTATTATACTGATGCTTTCCTGGGTGAGCGTATTGGAAGACTATAAACCCAGTTCATGAAACACGTAAATAAATAAATAATTTACCTACATCGAAATATATACTATATATACAAGACAAAATACAGAAAATGACTGAACGCTGAATCTAAATTAAGATTGATATTAAACGAAGTCTCTTCGAGAATCGATACCACTTGCACTAAAAAACAAGCACACCCATCACACTAAATTGACCAAATAATAGAAAAATCTTGCTCTTTCGCACTTATTTTTTTTAATAAAATACCTTATATGTTTCGTTGTATCGACAGGGGCAGGTGGAACCTTATATATATATATATATATATATATATATATATATATATATATATATATATATATATATATATATATATATATATATAATTGTATATGTCACACATTTATTTCTATAGATTGCAGCGGAGGTCTGCAGCGATTAGCATTGTCTCGTCGAGCGTGTGACGGCATTCCCGATTGCGCCGGTGCGGAGGACGAACGCGGCTGTGCGCACTGCGGCGGCGTCGGCGGTGGCGGACTACGGTGCGCGCTACATGCCCACTGTCTACCTACACATTTACGATGCGATGGTACTCCAGACTGTCCCGATGGCAGCGATGAAACTGGATGCCGTAAGTTATAAGATTGACGGAATTAAATAAGTTTCGCACCCTTTCATATTTTACATAGTTCTTACTTCTGTTTGACCTACTTAGTTTCGATACTGATTACCATGACAAATATAAGGCGAAGACTTGTTTCAAATTAATTCTAACTTATATTTCTCAGTTATAAACTCTAATTCTGTCGGAAGATACAATTTTTCAGTTTTATATTTTATGATTTTAAACTGTAGCATATCCTGTTTATATTTAACTATGCATCGCATATGTTCAAGTGTGGATCTCTCGCTCATTGGCTTCGTGGAGACGAGAAAACGCGGAGACTACCTTGGGTGCGGTACGCAGTCGAACTGGTTATGCGGTGTGGGCAGAACGCGGCCGCGACGGAAAAATTTGCGCTGCTCCTTATGAGAATGACAAACGAGCTCTCATCAGCGTCGCCACATCGCTCTGCAGAGCACTAACCTATAGGTAATCAAGTTCAATTATTAAACTTTAAGACTCGTTTCATTCATACTTATCCTTTGTATTTTTTTAGTTTGATATTAAGTTACAGAACAACAGTTATTATTCATTGGAGTTAGAGCAGAATAGGCTAGTTACGGAAACCAAATATTTATATAATATTGATATATTATACTCGACTAAAATTTTGCATTCTACTTATTTTAGAGCGGCTATTAGCGCAGAAGCTGTATTGGATAGTGAAGAAGAAACTGAAAACGAGACCACAACAGAAAATATTGTCTCTAGAAAGGAAACACCCGAATATGTTGAAGTTGTGGATCCCTTTGCACCTGAAATATCGTTCGTCAAAAGTGATTGCCCGCAACGTAAAGTGATACGAGTAACCTGTGATAAGTTAGGTAAGATATACTCATATTTAAAAATAGTACTATTTATTTGTACTTCTGTCAATTTTACCTGTAGTAATCTGAAGGTACCTGAAATGTTGTGACAATACCTGAAGATTAAGGTTATATGTACAACAAGCATAACAGTCATGTGTTGCGATTTCCTCAGCTATCTTTGATTTGATAGTATGCGAATCAAAATACAAAAACGTACTATATAATATAATGTACTATATTGCTTTGTAACAGAAGTAAAACGTACTAACCGTTAACATAATATTAAATTAAATAGTGTATTTTTTATACCACAAAAGTGGCAAACGGTTATTATAGTCACATGCGCGTTGCTGACCATAAAGATACCTTAATATACCCTTTTCGAAAAACCCTATAGTGTAATCTCTATGGAAAACCTCGGCAGGGATTTAATCCTACAGACTGAACCTTTGCGAGAGAAAATTTCTTGAAACCGCACTATACGTGACCATTTAGGTTCAAGAGTGTGAGGATGATGACGATGGCTAGCGGTCCGATGATAAAAAGTGGCTGTGAACATAATTTCAAACAATTCCTCAGAACACACATCATTATACAAGCGGTACAATACACAAAAGGGGCAAAGTCTGGCTTTAGTCTTGAGGGCTCGAAATCGCCTGTGAGCTTGGGATCGTCGAGTAATCCCATAGCTCGTCGTTGAACCGAGTCAGGAGGATCAAGCTGGTATTCAGACGCTCCAGCCCACAGATGAGAGCAGTAATAGTCTTTGTTTCGGAGTAAAGTACCTTTTTACTCTATTGAGCTTCTCGAACTTTTTAGACGTCAGCTCGATCCTATTTTTAAGATAACCCTAAAAGTCTACTACGCTAAAAATATTAACAGATGTGTTTTGGAATTGTGAAGCCACAGTACATGGGGTTCTTTTAGTCTTAGATGGGTTAAATTGGACTAAGTTTAGTCGTCCCCGATCGGAGACTCTAGTAAAAGTACTCTCAATTTCAAAGACGATCTGTACGCGTGTCGTAGGTATAATATTAAAATATGTTTTAGATTGTGGAATAGCATCAGCCCGGGGTGATCGTGCTACTAAAGGCGTCGAAGGTCTACCTCGATCTGCGCTGCCTGGCGACTGGCCGTGGCATGCGGCCCTGCTAAGATCGCACATCCACGCCTGTGACGCTACTCTTATTCATCCGTCATGGCTTATTACTACTGCCTCTTGTTTTCAGGTACATTATTAGTACTGCTTGAACGGTATGCATTTATTTTAGTCACTTAACATTATTATTTATATCAAATTCAATATTTATAGGGTCAGCCCAAGGCCGAATGGACGGCTAGACTAGGAACAGTGAGGATACAGAGTACCACACCATGGCAACAGGAACGGCGCATAGTGGGCATGGTACGGTCGCCTGTGGAAGGCAGCATGTTAGCATTACTGCGACTAGAAGAATCTGTTGAAATGACTGATTTCGTGCGACCATTATGTTTACCGAAAGATGGTTCTAACAGTGATAAAAGCATCTGTAACACGTTAGGTTGGACTAGAAACCGAGACCAATTACAAAGAGTGCATGTAGTAACTAGTCCCATGAACACATGTGAAAATGTGAGCATAGCTACCGTCAATGGTATTTGTGCAGAGCCTTTATATGACGAAGACGACTGTGATGTAAGTACCTTTATATTCAAGACTTTTACTATATAGTACGTCTGATGGTACTTATTTATTATAAATATTTAGAATAAATAAATACTATATAATAATATTGTAAAGTATACTTCATACCGCTAGGTGATTAGGGTATCCTTATCTCTAATTTAAATGGCAGAACAACGTTAGCTGGGTCAGCTATAAATATATAATATAAATATGATCATTTAGGCGATAACTAAATTCATAAGAACATGTTTTTAAATTTTGATGTATTTATCCCTACAGGAAGAAGAATACGCAGGAAGTTCAATGATGTGTTTCGATGAGAAGACCAAACGTTGGTCATTGACAGGTGTTAGTGGTTGGCGAATCGCATGTTCGAAAATAGGCCTTGGCAGGCCTCGAATCTATGATGCTATTGCTTCTCATGTTGATTGGATTCGACGAACAATTTCTAACTCTGCAAGGTGACCGATTTTTGGTCAGTTAATTTCGCATAAAGACTGGATAAATGCCTCTATGATTTAAAGCATGTAATGTATAGTTATTCAAGATCTATTGTATCATACTGATGCATTTTCTAATACTAAATTTCTTTCACAAAATTAAGTAAATTTTATATATCTTAAAATATTGATTTGTGCATTTAGGTTCATTTATATATACAAATCAACATACAACAAGTGGAAATTAACTCATAATAAGTCATAAGTGACCATTTACCTATTATACATGTTAAATTAAATATTTAGTTTGAATAATTATAATTTTAACTAAATGCCAACTTATGTTCTTATACACAGTTGCCAGTATATAGTTAGTGGCCATCATTAGTGCACACTAGACACTAGCTGGTAGCTTTATGTTGTACAAAATCTTATCATCATATCGTTAAAAGTACCATAGAGTACCTACCATTGAGTTACCTGGCAAAAACATCTGCTTTAGAAAACTTAATTTGAAGAGCTTGAGATTTTCTATATAAAGCCAAAAAACTGTACTGTAAAGAGTTGTCAATTAATTAATTTTACAAAATATTTTACTCAAATACAAGAAACTTAAGTTAGTGAATATAAATTTAAAAATATGTTTATTACATACTTAATAAATACTCAACTATTATTACAATGTTAAATTGTCTTACAAATTTTATGAACTGTTTCCATAGAAGCAATACAACATACTACTTTAGACCTAAGATAATTTATTGCAAACAAAATGTACAATGTAATTGGATAAATATATTTGTAAATATTAATAAGTTAGGAAAGCTACCAAATTATAAAATAAATATTATTACAATGTTTTTTTAGATTTTTACTTATATTTGCCATTAAAACATAGTTTGTTAATTAAGCCTGAGTTCAGGTACACTTCTCACAAATTGTAAGTAACAATCAATCAACTCTTACTCAGAATTAATATTAATATGATATATAAGAGTAAGTAAAAAACGAATTAGTTTAATACTCTGTTAATTCTGAAATTTATATCAGTTATTAAAGGTTTAAATTCATTTTAAATATGGGCATGAAAACTAGTGTGTAATGACAAATTAACTAGGATTTGATTTATTATTAGTGATGGATTCTGATATATTATAATAGTAGGTTATAAAAAGTTTACAAAATTTCTAAAGTAACCACATATTTATTAAAAACACTTTCTAATATAAACTACAGTAATATAATTATAAAAACAATCATTTTAAAACACCTTCTTCTTTCAACTCTTCTCTAATCTTATGTTGTAAATGATCTGGGAAATTTTTTAGCTCCTTATCAATATACTTATTTAAATCCTGGAGTGGTCTATAGTATAGATGTACGACTTGAGACCCCGCAAGCATTGATGTCATCGCCGCTACAGAAAAAGATATATACTGTCCCCAAGTTACTCCAGCTGGCATCTTATGAAGCAACGTATTTCCTGATCTTTTCTTCTACAATGTCGTGAGCTTGACGCTTTTTAAATGTGTTGTAAAAGTTGACCTCACCAACTCTCCAATTAATCATAGAAAATTCCAAAGCAGCTCCCAGTACAAAGAACATTGGTAGAAATCTATAAATTCCGAAAGTCTTTTTACCAGGCCATCTATTAACAAGTCTATGAATCCAGCCGATCCTCATTGCATTATACCTTTTATACTAAAATTTATGGAAAGTGCTAGCACTTTTATCGGTTAGTTATCGGTTTCACATTTATGATAATTTAAATAAATAGAAAATACACTATTACGAAACTATTATAATCACAGAACGAGTAAAAAGATATGGAAATTAATTGACAGTAAGTGACAGTGTCAGTTTTGACAGCAAAGAGTTGACATCAATCGGATATGAATCAAAGATTATGGAACGGCTGACATTATACAATCATATAGTGATAGGATAAAGATTCTAAATTGTTCTTAAAATTGACGTAGGCGAATTATTAATAAAGAATAGAATCAAAATACAAGCTAGAAAGCTGAAAAGGCCATCGTTGTAGGATTCATGCCGCTGCATTGGCTGCTTTGTTACGCGCCGTCTTATATTTACGTTTCGCACTCACTGCGGCAGTCTGTATACAAGCTGCACACTTAATATGTAGTAAATTATAGAAAGTTTATGCTACACTGAGAAAAATGAATTACACGAAATGAAAAAAAAAAAAACTTTTAAAAGCAAAAATTATAAAACAAAGAATAAAGAATTGGCGCCATTTTTAGTGTTGCAAGTATCCTAAAAAAATCTCCACAATTTAATTAAAATCACCAAAATGCAATTAATTTTATCAATTTACTATTTGTATAATATGAATATAATATTTATGTATGTATATAGAGATATTATTGAATATTATGCAGACTATTTAATGTTCAACGTATTAAATTAAATTACATTGTTATAACACAATTAGCTGAATTATTAATAAAACCGCCACTATTATCAAACGTCTTAAAAAAATGGAAATTTTAAATTCTACTGTATATATTTTATTATAAGAATCTTTTTTATATGGCTGATTGCTTTTAAAATCAAAATCTGAAGATACATGTACACTTTAAATACGGATGTAATGTTAGAAGTAATTAAAATAAGCGCCAGTTTTACTTTCAATGATATTTGATCGATTTCTTTTCAAAGTCGATAATTCAGGATTTATATATATGAATAATTCGAATACTTTACATATGAATGCGATGTCACATTTAATAAAAATAGTCGCTATTTTTATTTGAGCTTTCAAAATTGATATCTACACTTCGATTCTGGCGTCAGAATTGATTAAAATAGCTGCTCTTTTTATTTAAAGTAAAAAGGTATTTATGTGGATAAAGATAAACAAAAAAGAATTAAGAATTTAAACTTAAAATACAATTCAGTAATTTTTATATTTAGTCAATTTATTAGGTACAATTAATTAACTTATATTTTCCATTATCGTATGTAGATATTTCGAAAAACCCACATAAAATTAAAATAACTCCCACTAGCATTAATTCTGAGATCAATATATGTTTTAAGTCTACAAAGATTCTGACATCATTATTAAAGAAATAAAATAGCAAAAAAATAAAATAAAATATTCGTTATTTAATTTATTATGAACTCATATTTAAAGCGAAATGGATCCTTAATAACTGATTTTTAAACTTTACCTCAAAATTGTACTAAAGATTAGTAAAATTTTTTTAAAGCAATATGAAAGAATCAGAAAGTTTTCAAGCTTTAGAATAATAAATAATAATAATAAATAAATAGCATAATTAAATTTATTAATAAAATTAAATATTGTAAATAGTTGCCGTGACTTTTAGAATAGGCAATACCTTCCTTTCCCGTAAATGTTGTAAGAGGCAATTAAGAGAATATTTAAGGGATGGGGAACGGAATCCTTCTTAAAACATCACCAAAACCAAAAAAAAAAAAAAGGTTTTGGTGATGTTTTTTGGCCGCACAGCGTGGCAACTACTGACAAATCATCCCAAAGGGGAGGCCTATGTTTAGCAATGGACAATTAAGGACTTTAGGAGGTTAGTTTCATACTATGTTACAATTTTCAACTATTTACATTAATTTTAAGTAATAATTTCTAACCTGTTAACCCTATCACGCACATTTATATTTAGCTGTTTTTCGAAGCATTTATAAGACACTCTATCCATATAATCTAGGCTGCGTGCAACATAGACACACTGCATGTAAGCATCTTTAAACTAGATATCATCATCATTTCAGTCATTATCCGTCCACTGCTGGATATAAGTCTCCCCCACAGATTGCCATAAAGAATGGTCCTGAGCTACTTATATCCATTGACTCTCTGCAATGCATTCAAAGTCGTCACTCCATCTAGTGGGGGATTGTCCTACACTACGTTTGTTGGTACGGGGTTTTTTCTCAAGAATTTTTCTTCCCCATCAGTTATCGGTTGTTTGTTTGCCACTTCAGCTTGTTGGTTACTTTGTGGTATATATTTGTAATATTATACTACAAGATACCACGTCTCTACTTTGTATAGATCTATAGTATTGTCGAATACTAGGCTGATTTCGAAACAAACAAGTTTGCTATTCATTTTATCTATAAGTAACTGTAAAGATGGCATGTTCATATACTTGATCGTCTACGGAGTTTGCTATATAATGACACAGTGAAAATTCTTAACCAAAGAGAAAGAGAATTTGATATTTAATAGTTAATATCTGTGGTTGTGATAAGACATTGGTTGTCTCGGTTGACATTATAAAACAATATAAATTTCTTTGTCTTTTATTTCCATTTGACATTTTCGTGGACGATAAAAAAGCGGGAAAAGGTTAAAATTATATATTATCTTAAAGTTAATATTGTTTGAAAAAATATTATTTCCTAATGCTGTTTAAGAAACAATGCTTGCCATCCGAAAGAACAAATCAAAACGATGTTCTTCAGTCATTTATGAGAAATTTCAAATCTAAGAAATTTGTGTTTAAAAGTAAAGTCATAAACCCCAGTCCCATTAGACCCAGTGAGAGACCACTTGTTTACTTAGTTTATTAATTCTCTAATTTTTGTTCAATAATCATACGACAAGTAATGCGTTCTGTTGCCTTTTATTAAGTATTTATTTAATTTTATTAATGACTTATGGTTATGTTATGAATGGTTTGAAATGTTTTAGTAGAGAAGTAACTAGTGATTTTTTCAAAAATGTAGAACCTGTGAAATTAACTGAAAGTAGAAAACTGAAACTGCATTTAAAATGTTGGGGTTTACTAATGGATTATTATTTGGAGTCAGTTAAGATCAATTGCTCAAAAAATGGAAAGGCATCAACTGTTGCAACATTGAAAATTGGTGATAGGTCAGGTCAAGTGGCATGCATTGTCAGAGGACCAACTGTTGGATTATTGTTTGGTTTATCTGCTGAAGAATGGATCCAAGTTGAAAAATTATGTAACAGTGGCCAACAACTATTTTATAGATATTTTAAAGATGGTATAAAAGAGACGTTTAGTTTTGAACAGAAGTTGTTCTATAATTTCTGCCTTTGCAGTCAAAAGAAAGAAGTATTTGTAGTTGTGTTTCAAAGATGCACCAATTTGAGGAACAAAGACAAGAACCATGCTTTGCTGGAAGTCTTGGATTTAAGAAGAAGTAACACACATATTTTGGATTTATATATTGAACATCTCAGAAAATGTACCATGCCCATGAATTCATAAGTATCTAATTATACCAGTATTGCTTTTTTTAATAAATGGTAATGGCATGGTAGTCCTGCCTGCGCTAATTGTATATGCTGGTGTAGCACCAGTAGCAGATGATAAGTGAGAATGAAAAAGCAGGTCAGTTAGCCCATCATTATGTGTAATTCAGTACGATGACTTCCAGGGGGAACCATGTGGAGGTGCACCTGAGAGGGGTATATTGCTAGCAATGAGACTGGTAATCCACATTACTTGAAATCCCTACCCCCTATATCAGTATAGTTCTATTACAGCAACTAATCTTATTATCGTAATGTGTTAAAAGTTTTTTTGTTAAATCGTTAATACAAATTCCTGCAGTATATTAGATAAATTATGTTTAAATTTTGTATATATGTTTTTAATCATGAAAATAATAGGGTTATCATTTAATCTCATGATTATTTGTGAGCAATAGCATTTAACTATTAGATGATGACACTGTTCTAAATATACTTCATATTTTGTTATTATTATGTTGTATATATTATTAGAATTATTAAACAATTTGTAATATTATGAACTCAATATAAATAAATTTTATTATTTTTTATATAGTCTTTATTATTTGCTTCCTGACATATATCATGAAAAGAATTAAAACATGTTTCCTGATGTATTCAAATATCAACATAAGTGAATGCCACTGAACTTTATATTATTTAATATATACTATTATGTGTTTGTAAAAGTAATGCAACTTATTATAAGGATCTTGAATGATTCTTGTTTGTATACCTACTGTAACCCTGAATATTTTCAGTAGGCAGCATATTGCAGCAAACTAAACTAACCGCCATTTGGTCTTTGATGCAATAGTCACGCATTGCGTGGGCCGCAAACACATGCGTCTGGGTGGTAGGATAAGTAATAGGTACCTACCTTAAAATCGAGAGTGGGCGTTGACATCAAGTATAGTTTTTTGCCAACGGAAGGCAATAACGATATTCAAATTTGTTTTGTGGCCTAAAAGGCTGGTGGGTGAGGTGAGCCGCGCGTATTAGTAAGCTTCGAGCCGGCGCACCGAGCAGACGTGATCGTGCGCGATATCGACCGAGCGCCGGTGAACCCGAGTGTAGCTGCAGCGATCATACGACACCACTCACTGACATGGAAGTTGCAGGTCAATGGCGGCGGGAGTGGGCTGGAACTGCCGAATATGGAAAGGTGAGGACATCCACCGGCTACCCCTCACAATAGCATTACAGCTTATAGTATTCGCCCCTTCACAATTTAACAATAATAATCTTGTTTATAAAATATTCAAATTAATATATCATGAGATGATGACATAATAATAACAAACCTTACCATTTACTAATATAGTGTGTAAGCTAATCACATATGCAGAAAAAAAATACCATGGCATGAGCTTTATTATATAAAACTTATCATGTTTGAACTTACATATGATTTGTATTATTTTTTATGCTCGCCTTAGCCATTATTATGTATCAAGTTGGTATCGATTTTATAAAGTTATATTGAACCTTTCCACATATTACGGTCTTCCGATTAAACAAGCAGTCATTGCCAAAAGAAGGTTGTCGTTTCCTTATACGGTGTTAAAACTTAAGCGTCATGCCAGCTTTTGCTGTAGGATTAAATTTATTTACGAATGGCGAAAATAGCACTTGTGCATCCCTGGTGTAAAGTTCAATGTCGAAAGGAAAACTCTTACCAAACCAGTCTAGTCCGGTTCACCAAGTTTTTTCTTTGTTCTTCCATTTTTTCGGATATTTGCAGTTAGGTCTGACAATGATACATTTATATATTTTTTTTTAATATATCTATTTCTTTTTTTAATTAAGATTTCCAAGAGAAATAGCGTTTGTATCCTATTGTATATTATCTATTTTTATGAAATATAAACAGGTAACCAAAAAATACATATCTTAAAAAACAAGGCTTACTATTATGTTGTTACTCGTTGATGTCTTTTCCAAGTATCATTCGTATTCTAAAATTTCAACTATAAATACCTATCTAGATGTTAATGGATAATCTATTACCATTATTATTGAGCTCTATTTAAATGAAACTGCTGAAAATATATACGAATATGAAATGTAAAAGTAATGTTTTTTTATTTTTGCATTTTTCTCATTAATCTAGAGATAATGATTGTTATTGATGTTATAAACATAAAAGAGGATTTTGTTGAGTTTGGCTACTCGACTTTTAATAATTTTTCCAGTATCCCTGAAATCTCTATCAATGGGAAAGTGATAGTAAGTCTTAGTCCCTAGTCCTAAGATATTGTTATCTTGTCAGGTCGATCTTCACATAGTTCCCCCTGAAAATCATTAGTAAATTCCTGTGGAATTCATTACTATAGTAATGAATTCTGGCTTATAAGCCAGCTGACCTAACTTCATTTTCATCCCTTACTGATACCCTGTCAGCAAATATTAATAATACTGGTGGAGTTACTATTTCGTTGTTATCCCATAAAAATCTCCATCGATAGGATGAGGGTGGGATGCACCCTGTCAGGTGCGACTTCCAACCATTGAGGCTGACTACTGATGAAATCCATAATCCACTCTTTGGAATCAACTTCCAACAACAGTAATTCCGAACCGATACGACATCATAACCTTCAAGAAAAGAGCAAATTCCTTTTTGAAAGGCCTTTGGTGTTGTGGATGATAATGGGCGGCGGTAGTCACTTACCATCAGGTGAGCCGCATGCTGTTTTGCCCACTGTGTTGTAAAAAAATGCTTCCAATGCATTAATATAAAGAAATCTCCAGCTGGTGGGAGGAAGCGATAATTAGTAATGGGGACTAGCGGTCCCATTTTTAGCAATATACCTATTCAAGTCTACAGATATATTTCCCTGGAAACGATAGTGGATACTTCCTGATAAAATTAGACTTAACCAACCTGAGGTATCCTGCTTATCATCGCTCACTGGCACCTCGAGAGCATATATCTCAGATAGTCATATCTGCGACCCAAATAAGACGTTAATTTTAATTTATTTTAGGGTCAGTGACTAAAAATCGACGTCAGTATGACAAATAATTGCTACCTGGGACCACTAGTTTAGACGATACAGTTACATTTTAATCCGTTTAAAAAACCAATCATTGTTTCATACTGACCACTGCTATATCAATGCAAAGCAGCTTTTCAGAATATAATATAACCAAACGTGAGAAAAATAGACTTAACGTTTTTATAATGCTGTATTTGTAAGTAGGGTATAGGTACTTGTGTATTGTCAGGAAGAAGATAAACAGATTCTGTCTGTAGACAATAGCAATCTCAATTACCTTAACGAGCGGTGAAAGTCGTGAGACGTGAGGAAGCTACCAATACATATTTATTTGTTCCTGTTCCTTTGCTTAGGTAAGGCTTCACACTAATTTGTATATGTATTTTAATTTCGACATCCTATTGTGCTTGACAGTGGGTTAGTCATATTCATGAAACGATATCTTCTATGGACGGTTAAAGCAGTTGTTAAATTTCCATTTTTTTTCCGCAACAAGCATTTTACATTACGGTGGGACACCAATATATTTTAATGCAATTGCATTTAAAATTTAAGTTGCGTTTGACTATTCAAAAAAATGAAACTAACACACACACCTACTAAAATACACGTCAGACTTCCTTTTGAAGATTATTAAATCTAGATATTACCTATAGGTAGATTTCGTTTCGGTTTTAAAGGTTTTTTTCATGATGACGTGGTTTTACTTTGATATTTCAATTCCACGGAATTAACGATCAAATTATGCGTGTAATTTGTTTGTGTTGTTTTTACCAAGATTTAAAATCTCATGAATTGGCTTAATGTGGAATCAATGACATATTACTCAGATATATATTATTATTTCAGCTGTTAACTGTCCTATTGAACGTAAGCCTTCCCCATAAGGGAAATTTTGTCAGTAGTTGCCACGCTAGAAAGGCGGGTTAACAACCACAGTTAGGCTTTAGAGACGTTTAAGAGGGACGCTGCTGTCCATCCCTACACCATAAACTCCCTTAGTCGCTTCCTACGACAACCACGGGAAAGGAAGGGGTGGTCCATTCTATGCCGGGACCTACACGGTGAGATCATCAGATCCAATGGATTCAAATTAGGATTTTAGTTAATAGAACTTGTGAGTCTTTAATATTTACTTAATCAATTGTGGTATGTAGCATATATATATATATATATATATATATATATATATATATATATATATATATATATATATATATATATATATATATATATATATATATATATATTCAATGCAACAAGTAACAAAAATTTTGACATTCAGTCGGAGTCGAAAAAAGATGAGTCATGGCCAGCACCACAGATTTCTAAGAGGTAAACGATTTATAAAAAAATAATCGTGCCACTATTAAATTTCTTACTCTCTTCTTCTGCCTCGCCTTTTCTCGTTACTCGGGGCAGTTTCCTAATCATGCGGCCATTACCTTCCTCCACATCTAATATATTACCTTGATATTATAATTTTATAATGATTGCAAACTGGCTCCTGCACTAAATAAATCATTTTGGAAATACCAGTGGTGTCTTATTTATATTAGTATATTTTTTTAAAGATTTTACGAAATATTTTTTATGTAGAAATTCCGAAATGAATTTCTCCCGAAATATGTATATATATAAATTGTATTGTACTTAATTAAAATTCGAAGTACATACATACTTTAACGGTCTCTACTTAATATATTTCTATGAACGCCCTGAACATCATAAAATATATTGGGATGTCTCCTCCCGTTGCCCCACCTAAGGTTTGTTGTATTATCTTATCCTTTAGATTGAAACACAATTCACATATTACTTACTTTCTAGAAGAAATAGATAAATAATTATATCTAGGGGAAAGGTATTATTAGTAATAGCGACCATCAAGCCCTTTGCAATAATATACCCTGTCAAGTCGACCTCCTCGTGTTTTCCCCTGGAAACCAACGTGGTTAATTCTTGAATTCGTCACGATGAGCCAACTGGCCTGACATCATTCACACCTATTTTCACTTACTAGTGCCCCGCCAGCGTATACCGAGAGCGCAAGTAGGGTTATTTCATTGCCATCCATAAAAAATAATGATATCTAAACCCATTTCGGTTAATCACATAAAACTCTACCATCAATAAAATCAATTTTATTATCCAGACTGACTGTAATTACGGTACGTAATTAAATACAAAGTTTTAGCCTTGCTTAACTAACTTAAAATCTAAACTTTACAATCGCACTCTAAACAGATAGACGACTGAATTTGATTAATAATTAAGATAAAATCGAGATTGATAAAATGTATTGAGTAGGTATGTAGTGCAACCTACGTCTAACAAGAAGTAAATAACATCGACCATGACAAAAAGTCATGACCAATGCTACATTTAATATACGTATGTATTGGTTAAAAGTTGGTACAGTCACGTGTTTTAATCACTTGTACCTTCGTATGTTAATATTATTAGATATCTACTAATATTAATGAATATTAATTGAGTGAGGGCGTACGCTGATCCCGATGTCAAGAATTGTATTGCCGCAATTAAAATCTAAAAATTGACAATAATATCACTGTGGCGAAGTTGTAAAGTTTCACATTATTCTCCAAAAAGTTACAGTAGTAAACTTGTTATAAACATAAAGAAACAGAACAAAAGAAAATATAGATATAACTATAGAAAGGATTAATTATTTATATTAAGATACATATCTAGCATTTACTATACATGTTTCTTGGCGATATCTGGAGTAGACATATTTAGTTATATAGTTTTCAATAACTTGAGGGAACACTTGAGAAAATATTTAAGAAAATAATGAACTTACCATTTCATAATATATTATTATGAATTGATAACTTACACTATCACAACTTAAGTGGTTATCGTTCAGCCCTATCTATTGCGCAAGTTCAGGGATACTGTATTACTAATATGTTCTAATATTGCAGAGTTTTTGATGTAAGTACCTATTAATATCTAAATAAAACACTAATAACGCCAATAGTTACGTCTAGCTAGATCACATATAAAGATTAATTCACGTCTTGTGAATTAATTATATAGTCTGAATGTGCAAAAAACACTGATACATTCCTTCTGATATTTAGAAACAAGTTATTCAATGTCGTGACAACACTAAATAAAAAAATATGCACTAATA